TCAAGTAGAGTTGACAGAAGAATATTCTATCAGTTGTTTCTTGAATGGATTAAAACCTGAGGTTGAGGTTCAAGTCCGCATGTTGGCACCAAGGACGTTAATGAAAGCTTATAGTCTTGCTAAATTAGCAGAACAATCAGTGAAGTTGCAGAGAGAACAGAACCAGTTAATGGTAAGAAATTCTAGACCCTTGTTACCCACTCCAAGTTCTTTTGGGAGTTCAAATTTTAGAAGTTAGTATCACTTAATGGGACCTAAAAGCAGTAGGGGTTCAAATGGAGGAAAGTACTCTAATTCTAGTAATCATTCTACACTAAAGGGACCAAGAAAACTTTCCGCCACAGAAATGGACAACAAGAGGGCCAAGGGGTTATGCTTTTGGTGTGATGAGAAATATATTCCAGGTCATAACTGTAAGAAGAAAAACAGTTGTATGTTCTAGAGTTGGAGGAAGATATTGAGGTTCTAGAGGAGGAAGAACCCGCAATGGAAGAAGAAAATACTGAGGAGTCCAATCTTAGTCCTCAGATGTCCGTCCATGCATTGGATGGAACAGTAGATTACAGAACAATGAGAGTAAAAGGGTTTGTAAAGGGGAAGATGGTACATGTGTTGGTGGATTCTGGGTCAACTCACAATTTCATGGATGTGAACGTTGCAAGGAAATTAGGAATTCAGTTGGAAACTATTCCTAGTTTCTCTGTGGCTGTTGCCAATTATAGTAGGGGTCATAGCAAGTTCATGAGCAAGAAGGTGAAGTGGAGGATGCAGGGAGTGGATTTTATGGCTGACATGTTGGTGATATCTTTAGGAGGTGCTGATGTAGTGCTGGAAATTCAGTGGCTTATTACACTAGGAGATATCAAATAGAATTTCAGACAACTGAAGATGGGAATTTCAGATTAATGGGAAGGAGATATCACTCAGGGGAAGTCCACCTGGTGATTTCAAGATGGTTAGCAGTCAAAAGATGCAGAAATTGTTAAACATACCTACTCAGCTGAGTATGATGACAGTGGCTTTTGCGAAGCATACTGCTGCCCAGACTCTCAGTTTATCAGAGATGCAGTTAGGAGGAAATGGTAAGACTTGTCCTAGTGATTTACAGCAAATACTTGATCAATATTCCCCTATTTTTGTTGTTCCTAGTGAGCTGCCACCTCACAGGAGTCATGATCATAAAATAGTCTTGAAGGAGGGAGTTTCTCCCATTAATGTAAGACCTTATCGATATCCAGCCTCTCAGAAGGATGAGATTGAGAAAATGGTACAAGAATTGTTGCAAACAGGTGTAATTAGACCAAGTTTGAGTCCTTATTCATCATCGATAGTCATGGTTAAGAAGAAAGATGGTTCGTGGAGGATGTGTATTGACTATAGAGAATTGAATAGGGCCACCGTCAAAAACAAGTTTCCAATACCTGTCATTGAAGAATTATTGGATGAATTGGGAGGTGCTCATTTTTTCTCTAAGCTGGACCTTAGAGCGGGATACTACCAGATTAGGATGTGCCCTGTTGATATTGAGAAGACAGCCTTTAGGTCACACCATGGACATTATGAGTTTGTGGTGATGCCCTTCAGACTCACAAATGCACCATCTACTTTTCAAAGTCTAATGAACCACATCTTCCAGCCACACTTGAGAAAGTTCATTTTGGTTTTCTTTGATGATATCTTTATATACAGTCCTTCATGGTCCAGCCATTTAAATCATTTGGAAATAGCTTTTCAGATCCTACAATCAAATAGCCTATATGTAAAGATGAGTAAATGCTCTTTTGCAACAAAGGAGGTTGAGTACTTGGGGCATGCAATCAGTGGTAATGGAGTGTCTGCTGATCCTAAGAAGCTGGAAGGTATGCTTAAATGGCCCCCTCCAAGAAATGTGAAAGAGCTTAGGGGTTTCCTGGGGCTCACTGGATACTATAGGAGGTTTATAAGAGCATATGGACTGTTGGCTAGACCTCTTAGCAATCTGTTAAAAAAGGGAATATTTCAGTGGACCAAAATAGCTGAGAATGCTTTCAACAAGTTAAAGGAAGTCATGTCTTCACCACCAGTTCTAGCATTGCCTAACTTTTCTGAAGAATTTGTGATCGAGACAGATGCTTGTGATGATGGTATTGGGGCTGTTTTAATGCAGTGAGGACATCCATTGGCATTTTTTAGCAAGGCCTTAGGAGTTCAACATAGTAGGTTATCTGTGTATAACAAGGAGATGATGGCAATAGTAGTTGTCGTGCAGAAGTGGAGGCCCTATCTGATCGGGAAGCATTTTACTATCAAAACTGATCATCATAGTTTGAAATACTTGATGGAACAGAAGATATCTACCCCCAGCCAACAGAAGTGGATAGCTAAGCTTTTGGGATATGACTTCACTATTGTATACAAGAAAGGGAAGGAGAATTTAGTAGCAGATGCATTGTCTCGAGTGGCCAAGTTATACTTCATGATTGTCGTAATTGGTCAGTTTGTACAGCAGATCAAGGATTCTTACAAGGATGATAGCAAGATTTCTAAATTGATTCAACAACTTCAGTAAAACCCCAATAGTAGGCCAGACTATGTTTATAAAGATGGGTTGCTATACAGGAAGGGCAAGGTGTTTGTGTGCAGAGATGCAGAATTGAGGAAGGAGCTACTTAAGTTGCACCATGACAGTGCACTACGGGGGCATTCAGGTATCATTGCTACTCTACACAGGCTAAAAAATGTCTACTACTGGAGGGGTATTAGAAAAGATGTGTACAAACATGTTCAAGAGTGTGAGATTTTCCAGAAGAACAAGGTGGAGAATGTGGCCTATCCAGGACTACTCCAACCTCTACCAATTCCTGAGAGAGTGTGGCAGGATATCAGCATGGATTTCATTGAGAAATTACCTAATTCTTCAGGTAAAACAACAATTCTGGTGGTAGTAGACAGGTTGAGTAAGTATGCTCACTTTATGGCATTGAAACATCCATTTACAGCGGAAAGGGTGGCACAAGTTTTCATGGAAAATGTCTACAAACTCCATGGATTGCCGCAGACAATTGTGTCTGACAGAGATACTATATTCTTGAGTAAATTTTGGCAGGAGCTCTTTGGCCTTCAAGGAGTCACCTTGCATCATTCTACAGCCTACCATCCTCAAAGTGATGGGCAAACGGAGGCTATTAACAAGTGTCTAGAAGGATATTTGAGGTGTATGTGTGGAGATAGACCAAAGAATTGGGCAGCTTGGTTGCCACTTGCTGAATGGTGGTACAACACCAACTTTCACAACTCCACTAGAACTACGCCTTATGGGGTATTGTATGGACAGAGCCCTCCTCTCCATCTCCCATATTTACCTCAGAGTTCAATGGTGGAGGCTGTTGACAGAAGCTTACAAGCAAGGGAATCCACAATCAGGGTGTTGAAGCATCATTTAAAATTGTCTCCAGACAAGATGAAAATGCAAGCAGATAAAAGAAGATCAGAGAGGTCCTTCCTAGTTGATGATTGGGTGTACATTAAATTGCAACCTTATAGACAAATTTCGATGCGTTGGGATGATTATTCTAAGCTCAGTCCAAAGTATTTTGGTCCATTTCAGGTGATCAAGAAGATCGGGCAGGTTGCATATCAGCTGGATCTTCCCCCTAATGCCAAAATTCACCACACTTTTCATGTGTCGCAGTTGAAAAAGAAGCTGGGAGATAAGCCAGTGCTTCCTTACCTTCCTATTTCATTATCTTCTAATTGTCACATTCTGTTGGAACCTGAGGCTATTGTGGAAAGAAGAATGGTCCACAAGCACCACCGACCAGTCACTCAAGTTCTTGTCAAGTGGTTCAATTGCTCAACTGCTGATAACACCTGGATGGATTTACAAGCCCTGCAGCAACAGTTTCCTCATTTCAATCCTTGAGGACAAGGATCATTTCGAGGGGGGAATAGTTGTTATATTCATTTTATACAAGAGGGTATTTTTGTCACTGCTGTAATAAGTAAGGGATATAGTTGTCAATTACCATATTGCTAATAACGGTTTAGTTAGTCGGTTAAGTGCAAGGTCAGTCTGTTATTAGATACAGGATACATAGGAGATTGGTTGTACCAGTTAGGGGTTATGATAATAAAATCAATCTTCTTTCTCTCTTCTCTATTTTCTGAACTCTCAATTTACCCTCTGCAAATACTTGTTCAGAAACCATTCTCTTCATTGGTTTCTTAGAGATTTGCTTACTATTCCTTTTTGATTGTACCAACCTCCAGACCTTCCTATCAAGGGTCATATCCTCGGAAATCTGCAGAAAACTTTGAGTGAGTTTCGATCCCCATCTTTAGGTTCAAAAAGGCACGCTGCCTATCAGACCAGTAAACTTAGAGACTACCCAAAAATTGGAAAACTCCCATATTTTCCTGTGACCTTCACTTGCCGTTAGGTGCTTTTATTATGTTGAAGTATGGAGTTAGTAGTAATAATTATTGTCAAAGCGACTAGAAGCTAAACTTAGAGGCTACATAAGAATTGGAAAATTGAAAATTCCTCACCTTTGCCTGTGACCATCACTTAGCGTTTGGTACTTGTATTGCTGTGTTGAAGTATGGAGTTAGTAATAATTTTCATATGGTTTTCAAAGATAAAGTTAATTAATAGACTTAAGATTAATTAATTTCCATTTTTGTAACCGAAGTTTATATTAAACAATTTGGACAGAGGAACTCTTCGTCAATTTTAGCTCATACAAGCTGTAAAAATAGTGAAGAAACTCTATCAAGTAATAAAGTTAAACTGCATATGTGAATAGCTTGATTCATTTACTACTCAACTAGTACTTAGTTCAGTTGCCATTCTCCAACTAAAGTTGCCTTTTAGGTACAGTGCTTGATATGAAGTTATTTGGATATATCAATCAAGCACATGCATCCTTGACCAAAAATTCTGAGGCACAAGGATATGGATTCCCTTCAGAAAATACTTTTAACAGTTGTTTTAGCTTTTAGTCAAAATGGACGAAAACAGCTGCTCGAACTAGCGACAAGTGTTCCCAATCAAGAAAAATACACAGGAAACAGGCACTCCGGCCATGAATAATTTTTTTACATCATAGTTTTTACTGCAGCTCTAGCTGCCTTAAAATTTTGAGTTCACAGTGGAAGACCCTGATGCTAACTTAGGCACTGTGTTACAAATTACAATACTACTACAAGCTAGGTTGAACTTCCTAAGCTAGGTTACAATCTATAATAGTCTATCTCAGCAAAGTGGTGAAGGCCGACGAGGACCAAATTTTGTAAACCAACAATTTTGATATGCGTTGGGGGCTGCTACTGCAGGCTGTTGCTTGTACAAAGCCTTTTCCGGTGCTCCAAAATGTGAAAGATTGGCCTTGCCAAACTCTTCACATCTGATGTTTGGTAATACTACGCCATTATTTCCTTGGAACTGTGATGAAGTGAATTGCTGCTGTACTATATTCTGAGAGCATAAGTCGTCCCCTATTGGTATTTCACCAGTAAGAGTCTTGACTGCAAACATGAAGCAAGGATCTGCCCATATTTCATCAGAAGGTAAGCCCGCAGTGGAAGGAGTATTAACAGAAGACATGCTCGGACTGGAACCTGGGATCTTATCCACTTTCTTTTCATTTATGACCGGAATTGTACCAGTTAGAGTTTTTATTGCAAATTCTATGCATGGATCCGTCCAAATGTCACTTAAAGATGACTCGAGAGCTGTTTCACCTTTCTTATCTCCTTTGCAGCTAGCAAGGTTTGTTTTTGCAGGTTCAGCTGGAGAAGGCAGTTCTCGCTCCTTTAGCGGCAAAGTAACAACGTCTTGTTGCCTTTTGCTGGTCACATTCCCAATCTCTGCCTTCTCGTTGATAGTACCAGTTATTGCAGTAGCAACATGCTTACTGGTATCAACAAAATTCACAGGGTTATTAGTGGTGGCAGCTTGTGTCTCTTCCTCCTGTCTTACTGTGGCTAGATGGACTTGATTATTTGTTCGGAGCTGAAGAGATGTATCAGCTTTAATACCAGCAAGCCGTTTTGATTTTCTGTGAGTCAAGTTCATACCCTTTTTTCGTTTACGCTGGATTGCTTTCTGGTCATGCTTTTCCACTCCATCTTGTGATGGCTTTTCTTGATTTTCTCCACTAACAGGATCTGAAACAACTTTACCATCATCCTCCTCTTCCGCATTCTCTGGTACAGCACCTCCTAAACCTGAAATATTTCTCACTTCCAAATTAAAACCACTAACTTTGATAAACTACTAAAAAACACTTGACATGCATATAATAATTTTTTTTTCTTTAAATGAGTGCATGTATTTGAATTTTGATGACATTAAATGATATCTCTTGACCCATCTAGAGGCTGCAGTATCAAAGTCCATCATATTAAAATCTTTTTCCCCAAGAATTTCAGCAGTAAATTAATTCTTGAATTCACAACGAAATTTATACCTGAGGAATGGAAGGAAACTTATAATAACTAGATGACTTTAGAACATAAATAAAGCATTAAATACTTCATATCAAACTGAAATTTTAGAACTTTTCAATTCTGAATAATACCTTCAAAGGATGATACACTGCCTTCTACACAACCGGAATGCACCATATGTTCAGCACCCAACTTCAGCTTCCGACTCAAATCAACTTCCTTGCCAGATGCATCACTGTCTAGCGATATCTGCTTGTCAGCTTCAGCAGTCAACTAAATACCAGAAACAAACAAAAAGATTAGATCGCGAAGAATTACCATGGAGAATTTGAAGCATTACCATAGTTGTTGTTGTTGTTGTTCCAGTTGCTGCTAGTGGTTTGAAGTCTTGCTCACTAGTTTTATGTGTGGGGAGTGTGCCCTTTTTGCAATGGGAATATAATCAACAGTTTCAAGTGATTATAACAAAAAATGAGGTTGTGAGGTTTAATAATTTGATGAAGAATTCACTGTATTAAGAGTCTGACCTCCTCCACTATTTATACAAACAAAATGGAGACCAGAAGATGCTACATATCAAATCACCAAAAAACGCTTAGAATGACAAAAAGACAACAGATAGAATGTTTTTTTTGGGGAGCTTTCTCCTCTCAAATTAGATCAGCTAATATCCACAACCTCACAAAGATTCGTACAGTCAGGTGTAAACAGTTGGTTTACGAATGTCTAATAAGCTTGTAGGATATGAACTGTACCTTCTTTTCTAAGGCCAAGTCAGTGAAAAAGTACAAGTATGAGCACATGCACTAACATAGATATCATGATCTCTAATGTACTACTTGTCTAAATTCCAGCAATTTGAGGTGTAATTTCATCATACAATTTAATTTTCTTTGACACCACATTAATTCAGAAAATTACTAATTACGTCCGTAAATCATTTTAAACAGGTCTTGGAATCTAACTAGCTTATGGAAATATAGGATTTTTTTAACTACCACAGTAAAGGATAATACCAGTAAATGAGAACTAACATGTGAAAAACATCCACACTTACAGTTGAAAAAGGTTCTCCCAGTTCTGAAGTGCCAGGACATTGATCCCCCGGCTTGGATTCAATTCTTCCCGACTCTCTAGTTTCAAGGAGCCGAGAAACTTCCTTCATAGAGCGGAAAGTTTGTCCACTGACGGGGTCAATATAATACTGCAAAGGTAGTTCAGTAATTACATAAGCACATACTCCAAGTAGAATGTAATTGAAAGATATAAGCCAAGGAGTACATTTGAATTTAAAATAGAGGTTAAGGATTTGCATTTCCAGTAATTGCTAAGCTGGTTGATGTTGAAATATGAAAATAACGAGGGAGTTAGTACCGGATCTTTCCTGATTTTGTGCCCCTTTCTCCTGACCCTCATTTCCTTAATCCATCCTGGTGGTAACCCTTCTGATGCAGCCTTCCCAGTTGAAAACTGTATCGTTGAAAAAAAGAGAACTGTAAGGGGGCAAAAAATAGGAGAGAGGGAACTTCCATATAATGGAGGTTTCCCCTACAGAAGGGGGAAAAGAAGGTTGCACTATCATGGTAGAAAACATGTATTAACCAATGACACCTTTCCAGTGTCTTTCTTCTCCATCTCCTTCGTATTAGAACTTTTAGAACAATTACTGCCAACACTGCTGAGATAGCGAAGAACGTCCGTCTTAGAGTTGAATTTGAGTTCTTTTGAGGGATCACTATACCACTGCAATTAAACACAATAGATACACTCAGAAATGCAGAATGCATGTTTACATGTCAGGAACCAGCAAAAAGGAGAGGAATAACAATATTATTGTTTTCACTTTTCCATTCTTAAATGTGCATGGATTCAAGGCGGGAGAAAAGAAACTTTTATGACTCAATCTCAGGAACTGCCATTAGCAATTTATGCACCCCATTTCTTTAAGTTAGAATCAACGAAGCCCTCACATGACTTTCAAGAGGTAAAAGAGCAATGCTTCATACTGAGTATTAGGAAGAAGATATAGCACAGCAAGGAAAGTTGCAAGTGGTGGCGTGAGAACTAGGTTGGCATGGATAAGAGGGTTAGGACTGTTATAGAGCTACATATACCTTCTTAAAGAAGAAATATAATCCACCCATTACCTATACGTTTTTCTGTAAAAGAGAATTATAATGGCATACAGCAAATATCGCAGACTTGGTATTAGCTATTAAAAAATATTGCATTATGCAGTTTGTCCATTTTGGCAGTAAGGCTAAGATGAAGTGGTTAAAGTGATATGAGATAGGGAAAGGTATTTGAAGGCGTAGAATCTTTCAAAATTGCTCTACAGTTTGGGTTGTAAGACAGCAGACTTTGTAACTGAGCTGACTCCCTGCCACACACTTTTAAAGAATCTTGAATTCTCTCCTCATTAAACAAAATGGAACATCAGATTCATTTGTGTCTCCCTACTCCTAAAACACCAAATGAACAATAAGCAGGTTATCCTCCATAAAGAAAATAGCAGGTCACCCAAATCAAACGACATAAAATATGCATCAATGTACAAGACAAAATCTTAGATTACAGCAGCTTGAAGATGTGCCACAGTAATATCAGCATAATGGATGGTTTAAGAAAATTAAAGGATTAGGGGATTAAGATGCTAGGAGACTGACTTTGGGAAAAAAGAACATGCTATAGCTTGCTACAATTGCTACAATTTAAATAGCAGAAGCAGCGAATCATGTCTAGTTCCTGTGTAAAGTTCCAATATATGATCAATTTTAGTGGCTGGAATAATGTTGAAAGATTCAGAGACAGAGAATAAGCAAAAACAAGAATAAAAGAAAAAACCAAAGGCATCAAACGTGAGAACCGTTTAGCATCACCAGGGGCGGATCTATTAAGGCCCGAGGGGGTGGTACGCCACCCGCAGATTCGGCCAAAACAGTGTGTATATATATGTATCTGTATACAAGAAAAAGTATAATTATTTTGTAGTGCCACCCGGAGTAACAAAAGATACCAAGGTGCTAGTGGCAAAAAGTTAGAATTTCCTCCTTGGTGTTGAGGAATCGAGCCTTATTGGAGACTTTTTCCAACACTTTTGGCGTGCTTTTTCTTATTCTTTCTCTAATTGTTCTTCCCTTCCCTTCCTTTTTTTTTTTTTTTTTT